CCTTTAACTTTTCTTTCCCCCTTATAAGACTGAATAGAATTGGTGATACCAGGCATTCCTTTGTCAGATTAACAAGTTCCCTTCTAGTTTTCTAAAAGATTTTTTTATCACAAATGGACGTTGATTTTATCATGTGCTTTTTGGTATTTATTGAGAGGATTGTGTGATTTATTCCTTTAGCCTCTTAATATGATGAATAAAATGAATGTATTTTCTAATAGTAAGCTACCCTGAAATTCCTGATATAAATTTCAAGTTAGTCGTGGATTTTGATCTTTTTTGTACATTGCTGGATTCAGTTTGCTAGTGTTTTATTGAAGATTTTTATGTCTTTGTTAATAAGTGAGATTGGCCTGTAATTTTCCTTTCTACCATTGCCCTTTCTGGTTGGGTTATCAAAGTAATTCTGGCGCCATAGAGTGAATTGAGGAATGTCCTTTATTTTCCTATTTTCAGGAAAAATTTGTATAAGATTAAAATGATCTGCATTTTGAAAGTTTGGTGTAGCTTGCCTGTATGATGTTATTCTTAACTCTTTCTCCTTTCACACCTCACACCTAATCCATTTGCAAATTCTGTTCACTCTAGCTTTAAATTAAATTCAGAACCCAACCACTTCTCACTTCCATTTCTACCACCACCATCTCTCGCCTGGATAATTGCAGTAGTTTCCTAATTGGACTTGTTACTTCTGTCGGGCAGCCATCATGATAAACATATGGGTGGTTATATCCTGTTACTCTTCTCTCAAATCCTCCATTGGCTGCCCATCTCACTCAGATTAAGAATCAATGTCCTTACAATGGCCCACAAGGTCTGATATGATCTGGCTTGTTCTCTCTCTGGTCTCATCCACTACTTCTCTCCCATTGCTCACTTTGCTTTAGCCAGACAGGTCCCCTTGCTGTTCTACAAACACATCAAGTGTGTTCTCATCTCAGAACCTTTGTACTTGTAGTTTGCTCTGCTAGAACACTGTCCCCATAGAAATCCACATGACTTGCTCTTTTTTCTCTTTAAAGTCTCTGCTCCATTGTTACCTTATTAGAGAGGCTTTTCCTTATTACCATACATAAAACAGAAAATGTCTCTATCCCCTCGTTTTGTTTTTCTACATAATATTTATTACCTCCTGACCATTTATATATGTATATGTTATGTATATGTATGTATTTTTTGCCTGAGTCTCACCACAAGAATGTAAATACCAAGACAGCAGGAATTTTGTCTGTATTCCTAGTAGCTAGAACATTCTGGCAATAAGAGGTGCTCAATATATACCTTTCGAATCAATGATGAATATTTTATTTATTATGTGTCTGACTTCTTGGATGTCAGTCAGCCTCTCTGGCTTTATTTAAGTGCATTTTGTGTTCTATCCTTAGCATTAAAAACACAGCACCTGGCACATGGCCTTCTACATAACTGTCACTTAGTAACGAATGAATGAATGAATGTGACATCCTAGGTTATGTTTAAGTTTAATTAGCTCCCATCCTCCCCTTGGAGATCTTTACTTTTCTTCCCACTTTTCCCATTTCTATTTCTTCCTTACATCTACTCTTCCTCCTTATCTCTTTCTGCTCTTTCTAATCTCACTTCTTTTGTCTATCCCCTCTCCTTTCTTTCTCCAAATTCTTCTTTTCCACTTAATTGTTCTCTCACTTTTTCCTCTTACTCCTCTTTTTTTTCAAAGAACCATAAAACATCAGAATCAGAATTGGCCTTGGGGATTTTGTTTATCTCACATTTTGCAAACATGGAAGAGGAGATACCACAGTTGACACAATTTGCTTTCAGGTCACAGCTAGTTTAAAGCTGAATCAAAACTAGATCTCAAATTCTCTCTTTCTTCCTCCTCTCTTCTTTTTCCCTTTTTCTTCTCTTTCTTAACACAGCCTTGGAATCCGACAAACTTGCATTTGGATCTTAGTTCCACCAGTTATACTGGTGACCTTCAACAAATTATTTAACTTCTGTGATCCCTGGTGTTCTTACAGCTTAACTGTGATATTAATATGCATCTCAAAGGGTTGTCGTAAAAACTTAATAAAAAGTTGAACAACAACAATAACAAAAACTCCATATACCTAACATCATAATTATGGTGAGAATCTCAAAACTTTCTCACTAAGATCAGGTACAAGGCAGAGATGTCCCATCTCACCACTCCTTTTAGACGTTATACTGGAAATTTTTGCTAATGCAATAAAGCAATAAAATAAAATAAAAGGTATACAGACTGGGAAGAAAGACATAAAACTATCTTTGCAGATGACATAATAATTTATATAGAAAAATCCAAAAGAATTAACTAAAAAAAATCCTTCTGGAACTAATAAGCAATTAGAACAAGATTGAAGGATGCAAGATTAATATACAAAAATTAATTGCTTTTTTATATACTAACAATGAACAAGTGGAATTTGAAATTAAAAACACAACACCATTTACCTTAGCACCCCAAGACTGAAATACTTAGGTAGAAATCTAACAAAATATATATAAAGTCTGTATGAGGAAAACTACAAAACTCTGATGAACAAAATTAAAGAAGAAACTTTAAAAATGGAGAGATAACCCATGTTCATGGATAAGAAGACTCAATATTGTCAAGTTATTCTAAGCTTGACCTATAGATTCAATGGAACCTTAATCACAAATCCAGCAAATTATTTTATGGATATCAACAAATTGATTCTAAAGTTTATATGAAGAGGCAAAGACCCAGAATAGTCAGTATAATATTAAAAGAGAAGAGCAAAGTTGGAAGACTGACACTACTTGACTTCAAGTCTTACTATAAAGCTGTAGTGATCAAGCCAGTGTAGTATTGCCAAAAGAATAGATAAATAGATCAATGGAACAAAACAGAGAGCCCAGAAATAGACCCCCATAAATATAGTCAACTAATATTTAACAAGCAAAGGCAATACAACGGATCAAAGATTGTCTCTTCAACAAATAGTGCTAGAACAACTGGAATTCTCATGCAAAATAAAAATGAATCTAGACACAGACTTTGAATACACACACACAACTTTCACAGAAATTAAAGTGGATCACAGACCTACATGTAAAATGCAAAACTATAAAGCTCCTAGAAGATAACATAAGAACAAACCTAGATGACCTTGAGTATGGTGATGCCTTTTTTAGATACAACACCAAAGACGTGATCCATGAAAGAAGTCATTGATAAGTTGGACTTAACTAAAATTAAAAACTTATGCTCTGAGATAGGCAATATTAAGAGAATTAGAAGACAAGCCACAGACTGGAAGAAAATATTTGCAAAAGGCAAATCTGATAAAGGATTGTTAACCAAAATATACAAAGAACTCTTAAAACTCAATAAGAAAACAGACAATTTGACCTAAACAGAGATTTCACCATTGAAGATATACAGACAGCAAGTAGGCATATGAAAAAATGTTCCATATCATATATAATCAAGGAAATGCAAATTAAAACAAGACATCACTACACATCTATCAGAATGGCCAAATTCTGGAACACTAACAACACCAAAAGGTGGCCAGGGTGTGGAGCAATAGGAATTCTTATACCTTGTTGATGAGAATGCAAAATGATACAGGTACTTTGGAAGACAGTTTGGTGGTTTCTTACAAAACTAAATATACTTACTCATGATCCAGCAATCATGTTACTTGGTGTTTGCCCAAAGGAGTAAAAAACTTACACACACAACACACACACACACACACACACACACACAGGACTGAACATGGATGTTTATAGCAGCTTTATTCATAATTACCAAAACTTGGAAGCAACCAATATGTCCTTCAGTAGGTGAATGGAGAAATAAACTGTGGTACAACCAGACAATGGAATACTATTTGGTGCTAAAAAGAAATTGGCTATTAAGCCATGAAAAGACATGAAGGAAACTTAAAGTGAAAGAAGCCAGTCTGAGAACACTACATATTGTATGATTCCAACACTATGACATCCTGGAAAAGGCAAAACTATGGAGACAGTAAAAAGATTAGTAGGTGTCAGGTGTGGGGGGTGGGAAGAGGTGAATAGGCAGAGAACAGAGAAATTTTAGGACAATTAAAACACTCTGTGTGATATTAAATGATGAGTATGTCATACAAACCCATTTATAGTACACCATCAAGAGTGAACCCTTAGATAAACTATGGACTTTGGATGATTATAATGTGTCAATATAAGTTCATCCTTGGGAAAAGAAAAAAGTACCATTCTGGTGGGTGATGTTGAAAATGGGGGAAGTTATGCCTGTGTGGGAGCAGGGTTTATATGGGAAATCTCTGTACCTTCCTCTCAATTTTATTGTAAACCTAAAACTACTCTAAAAAGTCTTTTTAAAAAGTTTTTAAAATAAAGACCTGGCACATAATAGAACATAGTTGGCTCTTTTCTCATTCTTTCCTCATCTTTTTTCTTTCCCTCTTTAAATTGATAAGATTGAACTCATAATTCTTTGGTTCCTTCAAACTTTGGATATTTTGTCTTTGATTTCTTCCATTCATTTCTTCTTTCTCCTCCACCTTTCTCCTTCTCTTTCTCTCCTTTCCTATTTCTGCTTCCCATTTTCTTTCATAAACCAAGCCATGTGGACCATAAATTTTGAGTTTAAAGTCCCTTCAGCTTCAGTAGTCTACCAGTCTTATGATTTTCTCTTATTTATGTCCTCTTTTCCCATGTTCTCCTCTTTCCTTTACGCATAAATTACTTTACTTCCCTGCGCCTCTGTTTTTCCATCTGGAAAATGGAAAAAATGATAGGTTGTTGTTGTGAGCACTAAATGAATTAAGTAAAGCTCTTAGCTCGGTGCTTAACACAAAAGCCTCCAAGATGTCATTAACTTTATTCTTATTTGAACTTCTGCAAACCTGGTATGAAACAGAAAGCACTATAGAAATGTTAGTTAATTTTTTCCCCCTAAAGCTTCATGGTGAGCTTTCTGTGCTCACACTCGTCGTGGTGGCACCAGGTGAGCCCTCGACATGCAGAACCACGCAAACGAGTTCGTGGACCTGTATGTGCAGCAGAAATGCTCCGTCAGCAACCACATCATCGGCGCCAAGGACCACGCGTCCATCCAGATGAATGTGGCTGAGGTTGACAAGGTAACAGGCAGGTTCAAAGTCCAGTTTAAAACCTACGCTATCTGTGGGGCCATTCGCAGGATGGGCGAGTCAGATGACTCCATTCCCGGACTGGCCAAGACTGTCGTCGGCATCGTCTCTAAGAACTTCTGACTGGAGGGAATCACAGATGTGGAGTATTTGTCGTAAATAAACAGTGAACCCTCCCCCACTCAAAAAAAAAATCATGGTATCATGGTGAAATGGAAAGATGACCTTGGTTTTGAAAAGACTTGGGATCCAGGCAAATCTCGGAATTTTTATGAGCCCCAGTTTCCTCATCTGTAAAACGATAATAATACATGTCTTCCTTCCACCTAGGACTTTTGCTCCCCCCGAATTAAAAGAGTCAATGTTCAGGAAAGCATCACTCTACAAGTACATGTTGTAATCATGATAGATGGTGTCCAGGAATCACACTAGGGACGCTGTAGTTATGAGGATTCGATGGGATAAAAATTTAAAAGATGCCTGACTCAATACATGTAAGCTATTATTTACCTTTTACACTTCTTTTCTCATGCTCCTCAAAAAAATGAGTGGTTGAGCTACCCAGATGATCTCTGCTGCTAAACTTCTGTTATTGGTTATGGCCTCCTTCCTCTCTCCTCCTCAAATCCCGCTCTCCTCCCCCTCACCCCCTTATTCCCCCCCCTCTCTCTTTTCATTACAGCCTTCCTCTCGCCTCAGGCACCCCGTGCAGCCAGGTCTCCAGATTTCAGGCAGCTTAGAGCTGACACAGAACCACCTGGTACCTGCCTGAGACCAGAGGTTCCCTCTGTATTTAGCGTCTAGCGCTGGCCAACGATAAAGTTTTATTGAAACAAAGCACGAAAAAGAAAAGGCGCCTGTCAGTCTTTCCTCAACAGTCAATCAAAGAGTAGAATGCGTGTGTCGCTCACAGCAACTTCAGCAGTCGGAAGACGGGAGCGAGGACTATCCCGCCCAAAACCCGCCTAGTACGAGCGGAAGTACGGCCGGAAGTCATCCATAGAGTTTAGTGGCCAGAGCGACCCTGCATGGAGGTGGCAGGAAAGGCTCGAAACAGCTGCCGGAGGTGACGGAGCGACGGCCCCGCCCCGTACTCTGGAAGACGAAGCTTCCAGGTAGCGGCCCGCAGAGTCTATTCCAGGGTACGACGCAGCAGTCGGCGGGAGCCCACGGTCCCGGGGCGGCCTCTTTAAGGGAGGGGGCGGAGCCACGTGGAAGGATCTTGAGGGTGAGGTCACGTGGTTGGGGGCACCTGCGGGACACTGGAGATGTGAGGTAGTGTCGTCATTGGGACGGACACCATGTGACACCCCTTCCCCCACTGCATCTTGTGCTTTTGGGTTCAGTGGGGTGCATGTGGTGGGGTTTGGGATTAGGCCCAAGTATGGGAGGGGGGTGGGGTGGGCGTGGCAACCTTGTATCAGCCAAGCTTCCTTCAAAGTGGCCGGTATTAGGGTTCGAGTTTTAGGCTGCTCTATCTCTGATTACTCATTGCAGAAGTGACTCGGTGCCTCTGCAATCAGTCCCTAGCCCTGTGCTTCCCATTCTCCCAGCTTCACATCCTCTTTCCTTGCAGCTCCAGATATCCTGAGCCCAAGTACCCTCAGCTCAGTGCAGCCATGAGTGCCGAGGTGAAGGTGACAGGGCAGAACCAGGAGCAATTTCTCCTCCTGGCCAAGTCGGCCAAGGGGGCAGCGCTGGCCACACTCATCCACCAGGTGCTGGAGGCCCCTGGTGTCTACGTGTTTGGGGAACTGCTGGATATGCCTAATGTTAGAGAGGTGGGTCCTGACCTGGATAGCCCACAGGGAAGCTTGGGGCTAACGTTTGAATTTGAGAATGGGTGGGCAGGGCTCATTTTGCAACCCCATAACCATTCAGTTGAACAATAATAGGATGGTGATTAACTGGCATCTTGCAAGAATAAGTACACACGTAAACCTCTTTATTTCCCTTTGAGGATAAATGATCTGTAAAACCCAATATTTTTAAGCACAAGAGCATGTGATTCAGAATTGGAGACCAAATTTCAGCCCGTCTTCTCCAATGTAATAGCTCTTAAAAATCATGTCACCTTGATCAGGTCACTTTCATTTTAAGGGCTCAGTTTTCTCTTTTAAAAATGGAGCTGTTAATGCCCCTCACTGTTACTATAAAGGTCAGGTGAGATTATGAGAAAGTGTGAAGTCTGGTATAAATGGAAGGAATGTAACATGAAATTGGCATGCCCTGTTCTCCCCCCTTTGCACCATATGCTAATTCACTTAAGTTAGATCAGGTAGAAGCTGTCTTTTTTCCCCAAAGACATGTAGCAAGATGCTAGGAACACAGCAGAGAGAACTGTTCACACAGAAGTGGCAGAGTTAAGACTAAAGTTCAGAATGGACGAGTTGCCAAGATATGTGACACTAGCCCAAGTCTTGAGATGCTATGACAGTGGTATGTGGGAAAACTATGAGTTAAATTGTTGAGGGCCAATGATTGGGTCAGCAGATTTAGCCTTTTGGGATCACTCTGTGGTACAAAGAAAACTGGCTGCCTTCTTTTCCCGCTTTCCTCTGCAGTGGAACTAAAGAGATTCAATCAAGGTGAAGAAAAAGCATATATTGCGTGCCTATTTAGCACTCTGTAGTTGTCTGGGAATGCCAGAAAAGTAAAAGACAATAGAGCTTACCCTTCTGAAACTTACATTCAAGTTGCAGAGATAAGACGAATGGCTATATGTGTACATATAATTTATTTAGCAAGTATATATTGAGAGAGCCAACTACATGCTTAGCTCTGTTAGACGTAAGTGGGATACCAGAGACTGGGTCTGTAATCCTGTGGGAAAGAAATATATTCTTAGGTAACAACCTTAGGTAGGGTTTGACTGAATAAGTGCCAGAATGAGTGATCAGTGATAGAAGAGGAGATCTCGGTGAGCTGCCCTGGGTGATGAAAGCCCCCGGGTGAGGCAGGTCTGAAGCAGAGGCCACAGATTCCAATGACTGCCTAGGCCATGCAGCTGTTAGAGATGAGTGAGGCTGAGGAGGAGTCTGGTGAATTGGGGAGTACAAAAAACTGCCTAAAGATAATCAAATTCACAAATATTAAACATTCTCTAAGGACTAAACACCATTTGCAATTGAGGTGTGTGTGAGTGTGTGTGTGTGTGTGTGTGTGTGTGTGTGTGTGTGCGCGCATGTGCGCGAGCGCGTGTTAGATACTGAACACTATGAATGTTGTAGACTCTGAATTTAGGGTAGAAATTGGAGGCTTATGGAGGAAGAGGGCATTGTGGATTTGGGGGAGTAAACAAAGGCCTAGAGGTTTCTTTCCTATAAGGCCTTCCTATGGGGTGAGTAATGAAAGAGGCAGAGAGTTCCTTTCAGTGAGCTGGGAGAGCTAATGGAGAGGAAAGATGGGGCCAGAAAGTGGGTTTGAAACAAGGAAAGGCTGGGAGGAGGGTGAACAGAGAGGCCCTCCCTGTCATCTCTTTCCTCATATATTTGCAGCTGGCTGAGAGTGACTTCGCTTCCACATTCCGCCTGCTCACGGTGTTTGCTTACGGGACATATGCTGACTACTTAGGTAACCAGAGGGCCTTGAGCTCCAGAGTAGTGGAGGTGGGAGAAGGGCAGTTTCTGGAGGGACTTAGAAGAAATTCCTGGGATACCCGATCTGAATGCCTTAGGTACAGAGAGTCTTGGGTCAAGCCTGAATTGGCATAGAAAAAAAAAAAAATCAATGGAAGGAAGCTAGGCCTTCCCACCAAAAGGGAATCAGAATTTTATACACTTTGTCTTTTTTCCTAGCTGAAGCCCAGAATCTTCCCCCACTCACAGAGGCTCAGAAGAATAAGCTTCGACACCTTTCAGTTGTCACCCTGGCTGCCAAAGTCAAGGTGAGTGACAGTCCCCCAATCCTGAGCCAAAGAGCATCCTTTTGTATATCCCTTCACAAGGGCCCATCTGAAGAGAATTTGCACTTGGGCAGCCTTTGATCACACTGTTGCTTCTTTCTGCCTTGCCCCCCATGTCTCTCCAAGTTCTATATTTGAACTACATTATCTGCAGCTTCTTAGGCTAAATATTATTCTCTTAATTTTCTGTTGTTTTAATTTTTTTTTTTAAGATTTTTATTGGGAATTGGGGGGATGGGAACAGTGCTGGGGAATTGGGGGAAGGGGAACAGACAAGTTGCTGTCGTTTTGTTCTTCAG